TGTCTGACTAAGCTCTAAGTGCTCCACAATAATAATAAGGATCTGGTTGTGTATTAGAATATTGGGCTGAGTTTAAATCCTGCATCAGACATTTACTACCTGATTAAGTCACAACCTCTCAGATTCATTTTCTTCATCTATAAAAATGGGGATAATAGTAGGGTTGCTGAGAAGACCAAATGAGATAACATATGTAAGGTACTTTTCAAACCTTAGAGAACTACGTAAGTATGAGATGTTGTTGTTATTGTCATTGTTATTATTATCATTAAGCAGACAGACCACTGAGTCCAGTGGCACATACCTCTTGGATGGCTATTGCAGATGGACAAGAACTGGGCCCAGAATTGAACAGGATAAGGAAATTGGCCTGGATCGCATTTGAGAAACTTCAATTAAGTTTATCCGTTTCTCACTGCAAAAGCTGACATCTTTACTCCCATGGCTCTCCTAGTGTTGCTATACAAGATGTCCCAAAAGTTTGAGTGTGGTTTTAAGTTATTAAAGTTACAGTATTTTCTCTCTTGGGAGGATGAGTTATTGGGAGACCTGGCTGTCTCCCAAGGTATCAGTAATAAAAGGCTAAGGTTATTGCTTAAGTCACCCTGGTTTTCTTTAATAGCTCATTAAAGCTCTTAAAGCTTGAAACTATGTTAGGGCCCTGTGTAGCTTCAAATCATGGAACATGATAATCTCCAGAAAATCAAAAGCGCTAGTCACCCAAAAGAGTAACAGAAAGACACCCAGTGGCTGCTACATATTACCAATGACTAATGCTCAAATAAGTGGTATAAAAGGCGTCAAGATCAAGAAAGCAAATGATCGGAAAAGGAAGGGGACTGTCCAAGCAATGAGAACGATAACAGTTGGGCAATCTGAATGTTGCATTGTAATCCATGAAATGCCAAAGGAACTGGAGGAAAGCTTCCAACCCATTAGGTGGATCCTTGATGAAGGATTTATGGAAGGACATGAATGAGAAAAGCATTGCTCCAGAGTCAGATGACTTGGGTTCAGATATCACCTCTGACATTAATGGTGACCTTGGGTTTCCACTTCTTCATCAGTAAAATGTAGAAGGTTGAGCCAGATGGCCTCTCAGGTTCCTTCCAGTTGTAAAATTATGATTTTACTATTAGAAATAATGAATATAAATAGTATTATCACAGAAGAGGATGAGAGAATGGTGGGCAGGTTGTACTTTATACCAGTGGAGGGAGTTCCCAAGTTGATGAGATGGTAGATTGATCAGAGCTCCAAAGTTCCATATTTCCTTTAATTCCTTAGAATATACTGAAAGAGTAAGAAAATAAAATAAATACCAAGGGCTATTTTTTCATGGAAGGCATGAGGAGAACATAAGGGATTAAAACAATTCTACAACCTAAATTCAACTGTAGATGGAAGGGTGGTAGCAGTAAAAAAACAATCTGTTAAGGGGCATCAAGGGATTTGTGTATGGGCCTTGCACTGGTCATCTGCCATGTTTCAAATGAACTTCATCTTCACTTTAATTTCCTAGAATATCCCTCTTTCTTCAAGATGCAGTTCAAGCACCACCTTCTATATGAAGCCTTTCCTGAGACCCTTGACTACTAGTGCCATTCTTCTGAAATTATGTTATACTTAATTTATATCTATTTACAATTATTCTGGATATGCTTATGCATGTCCTTGTCTCCCCTGTGAGACTGTAAACTCTCTATGCTCAGGGATTATTTTGTTAATTGTATCTGTATCACCAGAGGAACTACCAGAATGCCTGGCACATAGCAGGTGCTAAATAAATGCTTATTGATTGATTGAAAGAAGTGAGGAATCATCCTGGGAGAATAGGTACATGTCTTCATAGTACCCAATAACTATCTACTTGAATATCTCCTGGAAATGGAATTCCTCAGCCTCTTTTAGCAAACCATTCTAGGTTCCTCCCCCCAAAAAAACATAATGTAGTTTCTTGCTTCTACCCACATCCCCCAAATTGCTTATTATTACTGGTTCATCATTTAACTTCCCAAAGCCATCTTCCTATATTCGTTTGTTTGTTTGTTTGTTTGTGTTTTTTTAAAATCGCTTTCTGGAAACAGGATTTCTGCCTAACTACATCTTTAAGTGGACATAGCTCTATGTATAAGCAGAGATCAAGATACTACCACTCACTATAGTTCAATTCCTTCTACTTATAGTTCTTGTAACAGACACGGGAGACATTATATATTCTGTAATCAAAATATGGAATAAATGCATGAATTTTAAATGAAAGAATTAATTAAAATGCTTAACTGTTATTGATATGCATAATTTTATAGATGCAAAGCTGTATAATATTTGCATGTGATTTACATTCAGTATTCAGATACCACTTTTGCATGCTGTTTGCATATATTTTAACATATAGTAATTACATATTTTTGCATTTAGATTGTTCAGATGTGACAGTCACTTAACTGAGTAAACCTAGTTAAGTGGTAGAGTGTTGGGAACAGTCATTGCATGTCAATATTTTACAGTATTCCTTCTATAAGAACATAGGCATTCCCATTCTGCATCAAAACCATGTTCCATTTAGTACAGTACTCCCTCACTTATATAGGCATCAGGTTATCGAAGGCCTAGTTATCTTCCCAAGTATCAATAATAAAAGGTTAAGGACATCACCTAATCTGTCCTAGTTTCTCTTACTAGCTCATTAAGGAGTTTGCATTAAAAAAAATTCCTTTTTTGAACCACCATTCTAGGGAGTTAATAGACCAATCAGGCAAAGGCCACCCTTCCCAAGTACCCATCTTGTTATTATATGATCTCCGTCATCCTCATGGGGAATTAACATTGGAAATAGGAAAGTTTTCTTTTAAACTGCCACACTTAAAAAAAAATCACAGTTATTCTTTTCTTTGGTAAAATATGAGTTTCTAATGAAACTTCATATATTATGTGTGTTCATGGGCTTTTCTGTTATTCATCCACTTGTCCCAAAGTAGATATGCACCTAAAGTACTTATTCTAGTTTCCAGCATTTATTATATTCTCATAATTTCTGGGGTTATAATAAATTCCTCTAGAATATGGATTAGACTAAATGAACATTAAGGTCTCTTCCAAACCTAAAATTTTATACTTCTATGAAATATGGGTTGAGACTGGAGAGGTAATAACAAAAAGTTAGTTACCATAAACACTGAAGTGTTCTACAATAAAGACCAGAGAATTCTAGCCATCCTGTGGTCCACTCGACTCAATACTCTAATCTAGGACACATACTGCAAATTTGAGCTCAAAATAGATGGGTTATGGAGAATCCATAGTTCCTCCAGGGACACAATTCTGACATGAGGTACCCCAAACATCATAGAGGTTGGGTGGATTAGTTACGGCGACGCAATTTGAGGTAGTAGAATGAGCATTAGATCTGAAATCAAAGGACCGGGGCTCAAGTCTTATCTCTTCTACTTGATCCTTGGGCAACCTTTTCTAAGGTCAGTTCCCTCATTTGTAAAATGGGGACACTAAGTTAAATGATATCTAAGAACTCTTCCACCTGTATTTCCTATGAACCTAGGAACCTATGGGGGGCCCTCAGTTATTCTGGAAGTTAGAAGGTAATAAAGACATAAGCCCTCAGATAGACTCCAGATAAGAACAAAGACCTTTGACAGGGAAAAATTTTGAGAGCTGAACCAAAAAATTGTTCCAAATGCAGAGTGGACCATTTTAGTCTGATGTCCACGTTTCCAGGAATTGCTTTATATTGATCCTTAGGACATGGTAAATTCCTTGGTTTAGTATTAGACATAAGAAAATGGACATTCTGATCCTTAGTATGGATATTCTTAACTCCTACAATATTATCCTCCCCAACTTCCTTCCTTGATTCCTTCCTTCCTTTCTACCTTTCTTCATTAATTAATCAACTGATGTATTTACTGTAGGGGATCAGTCTCTGGGTTTATTGATATTTCTTCACATTCAATGGCACTTCACAATGGGTTTCCATAGTGGGGGGAGATTCTTTCCTTCCACATGTATCTTCCCTGTCTTATAATGTAGCAGCTCTGTGTGTAATACCAGAAGAGTAGTAATTTTGCCAGGCAGCTCCAAAGCAAGCCTGCACCATGTCAAGAAATGGCCCAAGCAACACCATCTCCCAAGATTCTCTGCAGTGTATCTGCTTATCTCCATTGGCCTTTATCTCCAGGTGCTCCTAAAATTCTATGTGCTCTGGTACTGTTAAGGATACATACATTCAAAAAAGTGGCTAAAATGTCCATACCCTTTGACCTGGAGATTCTATTGCTAGGCATACACACCAAGGAGGTCATTGATAAAAAGAAAAACTCCATGTATACCAAAAATGTTTATAGCAGTGTTTTTTTATGCCAGTAAAGATCTGGAAACAAAGTACATGATCATTGGTTGGGGAATGCCTACATAAATTCCCATATATGAATATAATGGAATATTTGCTTTGCTTGAAGAAATAACAAACATGATGAATATAGAAAAGCATAGAATAACTTAGATGAACTGCTGCAGAGCAAAATAAGCAGAGCCAAAAAACAATTTGCACAGTGACTACAACAAGGTCAGTGCCACGAACAACCACACACACACACACACACACACACACACACACACACACACACACACAAAGATGAATATTGCAAAATTATAAAGAACAAGCTTGGTTCTGGAGGAAAGGTATGAAAAGACATCCTCTCACTCCCTCAATTTTTTTTTGCAGAGGTGGATAGGGTGTATTCACAGGTGTGGAACAACCAATTATGACATCAGATTTTTTTTTTGATGCATTGATTGAATTTACTGATTTTTTCCTATTCTTTTTTTCTTTTAAAAATAATATTTTTACAAAGGATGGCTCAGTGGGAAAGAGAAGGGATACAAAAGGAAATATAGGTGGTATAAAAAAAAAGATGTCCATAAAATCTATTTCTATAAAGAATGCATGAATTTATGTTGTCTGCTCTATTTCATCCTGCATCTATTTCACACAAGAAGACTCCAATTGAGAAGCCAACCAATAGATAACTCTGCCTCCTGATCTTTTCTAAAGTTTCCTGATGTTCTTCATGCCTCTCTCTTCCAGTTGTGAATTTGACCTGTTATTGATGGTGTTGATCAAACAAACACATTTAGTCCAGGGATGATCATCTCCCCACCTCTTGCTATCTCTGCTTCTATTCTCTTTCCCAAAATCTTAGGGAAACTCATGAAAATATCAACTGTCACATGCAAATTTTCATGAGGTGCAAACCTAATATGTTTGCACTACTTTGGACTCATGATAATCCTAAGCATGAGATAAAATCAGCTTATAACAAAACAGGAAGCTGCCTTAGGGCTGGAAAAGTTAGCTCTGGCAGATCATAGATAGGAGTCTTCTCCTGTCCTTCAAATACTCTTACAATTATGTTTCACTATGTGCTTGCATCTGTAACAACAGCAGACCCTTTCATATCTCTTCTTTTTTTGATCTTTTCTTTTTTGTGCCTTCTTTGAAGGCACCCAAAGAGCCTTCACAGAAATACCTCCTGATAATCAATGTTACTCCAATTTTATGACACATAGTACGCATTTAATAAATGTTTCCTGACTTGTTGGATGAAATGTTCATTCTTCCTTGCTAGGATCATATGTTATCTGTCTATCAATTGACTGAGTAAATATTTATTGTACCCATTATATACCCAGAATTGTGTTGGGTATGGGCTGGGCCACGGTGGAATAGGGGAGAAGCTATAAAACTATTTAAGGCATTCCTTGCTCTCCATTTTAAAGTACACATGTAGATACACACACAAAATAATTCAGGAGCCTTATTTCTCCCTTTCAGGCTCCTCTCATATGTCAGATTTCCTCTGTCCCTGCTCTACATCTGGAGAATTTGCCAACATTTTCATTTTAATACTCAAATGGTCAGGCTTCTATCTGATCACAATTGTCCCTGAAGAGGTGCCTGCTGCAGTGAATGTGGGTGGAAGGCCTCTGAGTCTGCTTGGGAAGATTTCCTCTCCCAGTAGAGGCCCAAGTCACCATTTTTTTTGCTAGCATGTCTCTGCTCCTGTAGCCTTTGCCCCTCTTGATCGAAGCTAGGATATAGCACCAGTAATTGATCTTGTTCTGCTAGTTGATACCCAAGTAACTGTGCTTGAGAATCCTTCCAATTGTTGACTTTCCGGATAGCTACTTGCTGAGCAGGAGCACCAATAGTGAGGATGTGGTCGTGGGATGGAAGGTGAGCAATGCCATCCACTGGGGCAATGTCTTCTCCCTGCACCGCTTCCCTACGCACAGTCCGGACTGTTCTTCTTGATAATCCATTCAGGGACTGTCGATGGGGCAGCTGGTTCAGCTTGCCTGGCATGGCCTTCTGTCCCCTATCTGTGAAAGGAAATAAAGGAAGAAATGGCTTTATTTATAGCCCCAATTTACCTTTCCAACCTTAATATGTAACACTCCCCTTCCCGCACTCTGTGGTCTAATCAAATCACTTCTTACTGTTCCTTATAAACAACACTGTTTCCTATTTCCATGCCTTTTCACCACCTCTCCTTCACATGAAATGCATTCTTCCCTTGCTTCTGCCTCTCCTAATACCTAGTTTCTTTCAAGATTAAGCTCAAGTGATGCTTTCTATGGGAATTTTCCTAATCCTTCAGGTGCTAAAAAAAAGTTTATATTTGTATATGTTCATTTTCTCCTTGTCTATCTATGTCCTACTTTAAGGAACTTTGGCTACTTTCAGTTATTTATTCCTTCACCCATCTCTACTTTTTTTATAGTCATAATGGAATTCCAGCACATAAGGCTTTCTCCTCTCTCACGTTTCATTTGCATCCATAGATCTTACCTCTTACATTCAGCATCCCCTTACTCACAAAATCACAAATTTTGAAATAGAAGGGAACATAGAAGTCAAATAGTCCAACCTCCTCATTTTAGAGTTGAAGAAACAAGGTCAAAGGAGTTGAGTGACTTGCTTAAGGTCACAAAGCTAATAAATCAACAGGCAAGATTTGAACTCAGGTTGTTACTGTTGTTATTGTTCAGTCAGTTTTTCAGTCATGTCCAACTCTTTGCTGAGCCCATTTGGGGTTTTCTTGGAAGATACTGGAATGGTTTGCCATTTTACAGATGAGGACACTGAGGCAAACAGGCTTAGATGACTTGCCTGGGATCACAAAGCTAGTAAGTGTCTGAGGTCAGATTTGAACTCAGGTCTTCCTGACTCCAGGCCCAGGGTACTCTATCCACTGCACCACCTAGCTAAATCCAGCAGTCTTGTGCTGTAACATCTTGCCTCACTCCATAAAAAGACAATGATTTTCTGATACATGCAGCTCCCATGATTGCTTTTTACTTTACCTCACTTCTAAATTCATCATCCCCTTTCCTTGCACTTATTGTAAATACAGGCAAATTCTACAAAAGTTTGCCCTGACCAACATAGCTTCTTAAGTATTTCATTAAAACCAAATCCCACAGTAAATTATAAAACTTGCTTACAATATCATTTGGCCATTTGTGATATTTACAACAGTTTTTGAAGCCTATTATAGATTGAACACAAGCTCCATTTTACACTTAGACAATATAGACAACTTATATATAGGCCATAATTTTCTGACATATAGCACTTTTATGATTGCCTTTTACTTTACCTCCCATCCAAATTTATTAACCCCTTTACCTGCATTTCTTTTAAATACAGGTGTATCCTACAAAAGGTTGCCCTGACCAACAGAGTTTCTTAAGCACTTCATTGAAATCAAATTACACAGTAAATTGACAAAAGTCAGTTATAATATCGTTGGGCCAATTGCTCATTTGACGTGTATGTGTGTGTGTATAGATAGATAGATAGATAGATAGATAGATAGATAGATAGATAGATAGATACATAGATATACACACACACACATATATACATATATATGTAGGTTAATAAAGCCTATTACATGTTGAATATTTAAGCTCCATTTTATATAGAGAAGGGCTGGGTTGCTCACAACCATAGGGACAATGTCCCAAGTGTTCAGTCCATATCACAGTCTACTGAGCCTGTAGTGGGAGGAGAGATATGGGGTTGGAGGGTCATCATTTCAAATCCAAAAACTTCTAAATTGCTGAGATTACCCCATGTCTTAATATGACCCTAGGCTTCATTTGTGAAGTATCTGGTTAACAGTACAACAGTACCCTTAGAACAAAGCTTCTCTGGATTTGAGATATCCAACTGTTTTTCCTTGATATGTGAGTTTCAAGTGCCCTGGTTAGGGACAATTTTTTTTTCTGCTAATAGTTAAATGCTATTCTCCTGAATACAGTTAGTAGTCAGAGTTGCCTTGGATACAAAAGTGCCTCCTACAAGGAGTAGCCCTGGAATTGATCTTTGCTCTAGCTATGCCCAGGTGGTTTGCCCGTGAAGAGCTCAGATGTAAAATGAAAACTGGCCATTCCAGGTGCTCATGTACCACCTGGGATGTCTGCCTGGCACCAGCTCCAAAGCTGCTAACAAATCAGGACCATCTAATGGTCAAAGGACAAAAGAAAAAAAAAGTAGAAACAAACCATAAAAAATGACCAGCACTTTGATTTTCCTCTCAATAAAACCAACTTATTCTGTGTAAGAACACTCACACCATAAACCATCCACATTCTAACCACTGAAGGCATTGTTCTCCCTGTTTAGAGAGAAAGCATTGGAAATCTTTTTTTTCCTCCTTTCTTTTCTTCTTCAAGTCAGAAGCTATTCATAAAAGACCAATACAGGATTGGATTTCCTTTGCAGACCAAAAATACATTTTTTAAAAAAATCTCCCCATGAATTATTTACATGGCAGCTCCAATCAGCAACATACCTGACAGACTCCCTAGCTGAAATGAAAGTTCACTATGTAAAGGTGCCAAGGGAGAATGGCAGCCTCCCACTGCGAGTTTATAGACAGAACTAAGTCAGCACACATTATATGTCAGAGCCAACATCAGAAGGAATCAGATCCTTTGATCTCAGACTTCCACAGGAAGCTTAGATCTCAGACAAATTAGATAAAAAATGAATTTATAGCAGATATGTGTCCTAAGGCACACAGCTGAACACTTGGGTTTTGGGGAAAGGAGGATAGCGAGTATCAAAACATAGAAATCAGTTGCATGTTTCTCCCTCCTTCTCCCTCCCACCCCACCTCACCACTGCCTTGGGGTTACATGCTCATTAAAATAAGAAGATGGGATTCCAACTTACCTCTTCCTGTGTCTTATATAATCCTTACTTTTTTTTTAAATCCCACAACAACAAAACAAATCCCAGCTATGGGAATGGTGTGATGTAACCCGGCCAAGTCTTAGAGATGTAATGATAAAGGGGGTTGGGGCTCCCTGAGGGGAAAAGATGTGGGTGATCTATTTCTGCTCTCCCCAGGAAAGCAGGAGCTCACATTGTATACTCTTCCATGACCACCCAGTATAGCTTGTCGGTTTCCCATATCCAGGCAAAGCCAAGTACAGTAGAAGGACCTCTTGATTTTGGATCAAACCATGCGGGGTTGAATCTTTAGGAATCATTTCACTTCTCTGGACCTTAGTTTCCCCATCTATGAACTGAGGACCTCAGATGACCTGTAAGGTCACTTCTATTTCCTGTGCCTTCTCACTTTTCAGGTACAAATAAATACATTGTACATGTGTCCTTAAATCTGGTTTTGATTGTAGTCATCTGTTTTTTTTTTAAACCAATGAGAGCATGTAAAGATATCACGCATATTTTACCTGCAAAATTATAGTGAACTTCAGTCTTCTTGGAAGGGGCAGCTAAGATGATTCAGGTACCTCTTTTTGCCTACTAATATTATATATGTTACTATATTCTGAACCTAGAGTTCAAAAGAGAGAACTAGGTGAGGACTAATATATTAAATGATCAGTGGATATAGAGGATAATCTCCCTTCATTCCAGGTTTTCATTTGTCAAATAAAAGAGAGTCCTGATACATGTCCCCACTCTTGACCCTGGGTTACAAGCATAGGAGTCTAAGAAAATTGCTTCTAATTCTATCTTTGCTATGTACAATATTTGTTTGAGATTATTTTGATATTCAATGTTTTAATATTTGATATTTTTCTATTTGTTTGGGCACAGCAGTGCTGGTCAATGTTTAACAAAACCCAAGTGCAGTAAAATGTATATAGGACTCTTTTAAGTTTGTTGCTGATTGTTCAGTCAATTTTTCAGTCTTGTCATACTCTTTGTGATCCTTTTTGGGATTTTCTTGACAAAGATACTAAAGCAGCTTGCCTTTCCTTCTCTAGATCATCTTTACAGATGAGGAAACTTAGGCAAATAGTGACTTGCCCAGGGTCACACAGCTAGTAAGTGTCTGAAGCCGGATTTGAACTCAAGAAGATGAGTCTTCTGGACTCCAGACTCAGCAGCTTATCAATTGAGCCACTTATCTACCCTGCTTTTAAGTTTAATCTGCATGAACATTTTCTCCATCCTTTTCTTAAATCTAGGCAATTAAAATAAATCATGCTCTGATTTGCAGCTTTTGCTAATTTTTGAGGAGTTAAGCTGAAAATTTAACAAGCTTTCAAACCTTTTAGAGCTGGCTTAGGCACATTATTGACTAGGCAAGTCAGTTCCCTGCTTTGAACCTCAGTTTCTTTTTCAGTAAAATTGTGATCATAATGCCTGTCCTGCCTATGTCATAGTAACTTGGTGAAGATTTAATGAGATAATATATGTAACAGCATTTGGTAACCATAAAAAAATCATGTAAGTGTAAGCAATTATCATTATTTTACCATGTTATACATCTAGCAAGTGACCAATACATTGGTTGAATGAACTGCAGTGCAAGTGAGTGTCATAAGCAGAATGGCATAGTGGATATCTTGAGAGTCAGGCTCAGAGTCAGGAAAACCTGGGGTGAAGTTCGGCTTCAGATATATATACTGCTTATGTAGGCCACACAACCTAAAAGTATCTCAGACAGCTGTGTAAGAGTTTAAAATCTAAAGTTGGTGCCTGTCTACATTAGAAGAGTGAGTTTTCGGGCAGCTAGGTGGCTCAGTGGATAGAGAACCGGTCCTGAAGTCAGGAGGACCTGAGTTCAAATCCGGCCTCAAACCAAACACTTGACACTTACTAGCTGTATGACCCTGGGCAAGTCACTTAACCCCAATTGCCTTGCCAAAAAAAAAAAAGAGTCTCTCTTTGTGGGCAGCTAGGTGGTGCAATGGATAGAGCATCAGCCCTGAAGTCAGGAGGACCTGAACTCAAATCTGGCCTCAGATCAAACATTTGACACTTACTAGTTGTGTGACCCTGGGCAAGTCACTTAACCCCAATTGCCTAAAAAAAAAAACAAAAAAAACCCCGC